TTCTTAGATAACTCGTAATTCGTAAATGTAGGTACGCGTCCGCGTACTGTTTTATCATCCACCCGTACAGCTGAGTCGATTTAAATAGATATCGAATATAAGTATTGATATTGATCCTGATTCCGTCCAAGTCCAGTGCGAGTACAATGCTAAGCATTCATTTATATTGGTGTTAGGGATCAGGTCAACCAATACCCTTCCACGAATATACCGGAATAACATGCCCGCAATATTCAATGTATAGTTTACGATTGTCATAAAAATTAATGATGTCGAGTTATAGTAAAAAAAACTGGTTATAAAAAAATCATAATTGAAATGAACTGCAAATTAACTATGTAAAAACAATTTAGTACTCCGTTAAAACAAATTATGCTGACATGTATTTGTCACTTGGAGAAGAAATCATTAAATCACTGATAGAAAAAATAAACGTTGGACGACAGTCGAAATTCTTGAGCTTATTGAAAAACGAACAAAACATAAAGCAAAAGACCTGAATGAATTCAAACAAATTCACGAAAAATATCAAGATCTGGATAAAAAGTATGGTAGCTTTAATTTACATAAAAATATCAAAGAAATGGCTGGATCTAGAAATAGCACAATAGTTATCGTGGTCATATTTCTAAGACGTCTAGAGTCAACATAATTCAGGTATATGTTCCTACTGCAGATAAGCCGGATGAAGAGCTAAAACAATTTTGTAACAAATTAGAACGAAATTTCATAAATTCCTGGTGCTGATTTGAGATCAGATCACAACCCACTCGCAGGAAGGTTTAGAATTAAACTTACAAGCTCGCAGCTAAAATTAAATTAAACAGAATACACGTATAACCGCCAAAACTATACATTCTTTTTAGCAAAATTCTAAATAATCTTTTTTGAAAATGATTTCCGGAGTGGAAACCGAAACGTCAACCATAATAAAGAAGATCCTCAAATTCAGGTTAACAAATGTTAGTACTGTCTGCACAGCTGAACTCTAACCTATTTATCGCGCCATAGAACTAATTAGCCTAACAACAAACGGGAAATATGTAATTTTAACAGACTCTTAACGTAATGCCACACCGTGTGTACAATTGTTTCCGAAAAACCTCCTAAGGAAAATTAAAAATGCTCTTTATCAAGCTTACATAAATCAAAATGAAGCAAATACAATCTGGATCCTACTCCATGTAGGAATAGAAGACAACGAAATAACGGACTTCTGGAAAATATGCGATTGTAGCGTACTTGAATTATAGACACATCGATATCAAGTGAAACAATCCTCCGCGAAATGTGTTACCTACCTCGAGAAGACAATAAACCATCATAATTCGTCCCAGACTCGGTCACACAAAGTTACAAACAAATGATTATTTAATTAAAAAGTCTGAAATCCAAGATGTGGAATTTTCAACACAATGTTAATAATATATATACTATGCAAATATCCGCCCTAAAATATCCAACGTATTAATCAAATATCAAAAAAAATTGCTACGAAGCTTTAGGTCCAAACTTAAATTTCAGCAATATTATAAATTACGTAGAAGAAATATGTGTGTCCTAATACAAAATTTAATGTAATTTAATTGTAATCTACTACATTGTAGCTAATGACCATTAGGTCGATGCGATTCCTTAAATAAAAAACCTTGTCATTTTCACTATCTGCAAAAGTACCATCAAATAGGCATTAAATCAACTAGTACTTCAAACTAAAAACATGAATATTAACTTTATCTAGATTTCCCCATATAAAGGAATCTGTGATAGAGAAGAGGTGGCCATCTGGAGAGCTTGTTTCGTCAATGGTACAATTTGTCTCGTAGTAGAATAAAATAAACTAATTTTAAATAAAATGATTTTATTTGTTTGCAAATAATTAACAATTGAACTGAATTCAATATAAACATTGCGTCAGCTAGTTAAAAAAACTACTCAAAATTTACGCTTCTTGAATAAAATGTAAATGTTCTATTACGAAAAATCATCAGCACCGATAATCAGAGGCAAGCATTAATATTAAAATTTTAACCATTCTGTATATTATGGTCCATATTAAGGCCTTTCAACCGAATGAGGCCACAAAAATTTCAACGGCATAACTAGAATTGTTTACATCACATAGGTAAACACCAACGGACGTAAGAGAACCGATATGGAAAGATGTATTAATGTAGGTCCTTTATGAAAGCGAATAATCGACGCTAATATATATATCTAGCTTGAGAAGTGAATTTCATTTCTTTCTACCTTGTGCCTCATTAGCGTAGTTTTTGACCAGACTGAGTAGCTAATATAATAATTTCCTCACATGTTGATTTAGTCATTGCAAAAATTAGTACAATCGCCTGTTTGAATATTTCTTTCCTCTGGATCATCGAGAAAAAATATTAATAAGAGTAGGATATGGTAATTACAGTTAATTGACGCTAGTTGGCATTTCAGCAATTTCACATATTATAAAATGTCAATACGACATTTAAAATTTGTCATTATTAATACAAACATTGTTGATATACAAATTGTTCAAAATTTTATACTGTAGAAGTGGCTAAAAGTCCAAACCACGTCGTTTTTTTATTTCACAGACTACTGTAATTTTTTTTTTGCAATGACTATAAATTTCTATATAAAGGATTAAAACATCTTTATAGGAATCTATTCTTTTCAAATGTGGAGCATTGGCATTAGCTCTTTCAATGATCATGATTAGGCCTCTAACCAAAACCTGTTACTATTGGCGTTTGTCAACATTTCCTTTTAATTCTTCCCGTTTAATTACCTCCTCGGAGTGTCAGTACTTCCATTACTGTCTGAATCTACGTGTATATATTAAATATAATGTAATAAATACTTTTCATAAAAAACGATTTATCTGATTCTAACATTCGCGCAATTTTGTCCATACAAATTTCAACAGTTTGTCCGACGTCAACCACTTGACGTGACGAAACTTTCCATAATTTGCTCACATTAAAAGAACAAAATGCTCTGGTATAGTCCACAAAGCAGCCATATACGGAGATTTATAAATTATCTTGCCTTCAATATTTTTTGTTTGGTGATCTTTTTAAACCAGTTTGTTTCTGGGAAATTTGTGCGTGCAAATCTGTCATCTTTCATTGATAACTGTCAGCAAGTATTTACTGACATGATATATTAAATACACTTATTTATATTCGATATATAACCGATACTGTCGTAAATAAGTATGTTTAATGCCTTCTAGATTACTCTTTATAAATATCCTTTAAGTCAACATATTTGATACTATGATTATGAAGGGGAATGTAAATCTGGTCTAGCAACTAATATTGATAAAACCTGTTTTTATCAAAAGAAAACGCGCGCATATTAAACAAAATGTATTGGCCAATCCAAACATTCATCACATAATAACAAAAAAGTCATTGAATATAATTAGAAAGCATTCATGCATTTCATATATTCAGAATTCTTCATAAGACCCAACAGATATAAATTTATTATGGAGGCTTGAAATTAGAAGAATAATTGAACATTGGACGAAATGATACACTTTCAAATTAGATGTACAGAAAACATGCAGCAGTGTGTACCGTTACCTTGATAGAAAAAGAGGAGCAACAGGTTCCACCACTCCCACCCAATCTGCCCGTTCATTCCGTTCTAGTCGTTTAGTTAATCAACAACCTATATTCTTGATTAAAAGTGGAATTATCCACAGTTTAATAATATGTAATAGAAATTTAATATCACAGATATCGTAGTGTCACTCAGATACAAAATCATTATGGATGAAAAATAATATGACAGCAAATGAATTTTAGAAGTAACTCATGTACCGAATTCAACAATTTGCCAATATTATTGATTGGCAATCTTTGAACTTTCATTGATAAACTAAAATCATTTGAATTTGAATAAAATCGCTTCTAGTTAAGTTTATGTATTCAAACATTTTGTTTTCAATGTGTGAACATTTATTAAAAATTTATATATTATATATATATATATATATATATATATATATATATATATATATATATATATATATATATATTCAATTAAAAACCAATATCAATAGCTAACAGCAATGTTTACATTTTCAACAGCGAAACCTTAGATTTTACACATAATATAACAGCAGTCTTTCCATAACTACCAACAAAATGTTTTAAACATTACAATAGTATTATAAAATTTATCTTTTAAATATTAATACATGATATAAAAGTGGGGTACCTTTATATCGAGGGTTAATAAACTTAATTTTCCACATCAGTTTAACTTATACTGCAAAAGTGGGTGCACCAAACCATAGTTTGGTATATTTTCATTAAATAATAACGATAAAACTTAAGATTATAATATGATGGTTAACCATATTAGAAATTATAAACTACACACAATAAAGTTTTAAAATCTTTCAAATCTATAACAGTATCAAAATAATTTGTCTAATACATACTTTCTTTTTCTCTTACAAAAACCAATACACCAATTACCACAACAAACAAAATGTTTTATATAGAACAAAATACTAATTAACAATAATTTTATAAAACTATGCTTAAAAATTCATATTGTGATTAAAATGATGTCCCACTTGACACTAAGTAATAATAAATAAAGAAACTTTTGCTTTGTACAACCACAGTTGTTTTTGAATATACTAAATAAAGCAGCTTGCCTGTTGCATGATTTAGTATTTTTTATTAAGAATGAAGAAATATATATTTTGACAATGTTTACATATTTGGTGATTTTTTCACAATGTAAAATATCACCGTTGAGTATATTAATCTTGGTATCACAGTATCACACATTTTATTAGTTTGAAAAAAAAAGTACAAAATGGAAGAAAATTCAACGCAACATCTATTAAACTCTCGATATATGAGCTACCTACTTTCAAACAGATAAGGAAACCATAATGTATAACATTATAAAGGAATGCGATATAAAAAGACAGTACACCACAGTTAAAACATAGTCAATAAGTTAAACATATTAAAAAACTACCTATAGCTATTGTACTTTTCCAAAAGAACCTTTATTTCAGAATCTTCGGCTTCATCCTGAAAATATAATTCGATAGATTAAAATGATGGAAAAATTTAAATAACTCATATTTTTTTGCAAAAAAATGTAGAAAAATGAAAAACAAAAACACAAAACTTAACTTATAAAACTAAAAAAGTACTAAATAGGCGATACTAAATACTCTGCAGCTCTTTGATGTTAGAAATGCATTCAACACTCCGCAATAGAAAGAGGTGATGCGGGTATTGGAGGAGAGGAATGTCCTAGCTATCTGATGAGTGTGATGGCAGAATATCTTTCCGAGAGAAGGATCCAGGTTAAGAAGGGTACGCTCGGTGACGTAACGGCTGGAGTTCCACAGGGATGCATTTTGTCACCGCTGCTATTTAATGTTTATAGTGAAAGCAGCTGCCAGGAAACCCTTTTGCAAGCAAAAGAAGGAATCGTAATCAATGGAGAGGTTGTAAATAATATTCGATACGCAGACGACACTGTACTAGTTGCAAGAACAGTAGAATAATTACTTCATCATCATCATCTTTGGCTCGACAATCCTCTGTGGATCTTGGCCTGCTCTAAGATTCGTCGCCATTCTGTTCGGTTTTTGGCAACATGTTGCCATCTTCTGATTTTTAATATTCGTAAGTCGGTTTCTACTCCATCTAACCACCTAATTCGCGGTCGGCCTTTGCTTCTTTTTCCTACAGGTGTTCCTGTGGTTAGCTTTTTAGCAATGGTATTTTCTGGCATTCGTATTATGTGTCCAGCCCATCTAAGTCGCTGTGTTTTAATGAACGTTATGACATCTGGCTCATCAAAGAGCTGATACAATTCAAAATTATATCTTCAACGATTACTTACAAATATAAATATTGCCTGCAACAATTATGGCATAAATATCGTTATCAAAAAAAGCAAGTATATGGTCTTCAATAAAAACACGACACAATCAGCAAGTTACAAATACTTGGGGACTTCAATAAACGAAACTGGAGACCAAAACAATAATATAAAAAGATGTATCGAAATTGTCAGGGCCACCTTCATAAAGATGAGGAAATTCTCCTGCAACAGAGATATAAGCATTCCTCTACGATTAAGAATGCTAAGGGGCTACGCATTTAACACGCTATTATATGGTGTAGAGGCATGGACTCTCAAACAGAACAACATAAAAAATATTGAAAGTTTCGAGATGTGGTGCTACCGTCGAATGCTGAAGATAAGTTGGGTTGAAAGAATCACAAAATTTGAGGTAATACGAAGGATAGGAAAAGACCCAGAAATTTTGTCAACGATCAAACGAAGAAAACTCGAATATTTGGGTCACCTGATGAGAGGACATAAATACGCATTATTTCAAAATATAATGCAAGGAAAAATAGAAGGAAAACGGAATCCAGGCCGCAGAAGAATGTTATGGTTACGTAATTTAAAAGAGTGGTTTGGCTGTACCCCTAATGAACTCTTTAGATCAGCTGTAAACAACGTCAGGATAGCCTTGATGATCTCCAATCTCTGATAGGAGTGGCACAAGAAGAAAAAGTATCTAGGCTAGTATGGGAATACAAAGTAGAACTCAAAAGACCGGCGAAACATAAAAGTGTAACACTAGTATGGATACTGGGTCATCAGGGATATGATAATGAACGAGCTGATGGACTCACAGAAAAGCATCAGCTACAAAATACTTCGGTGTAAAGCCGGCTGCATGAGTGCCGAGAAGCACTAAAGCACTATGCAAGACAGAAGAAACACCCAACAAATACTCCAAAAACATATGATCTCAACGAACAAGCAGCTGGTATAGGATTCCACAAGTCTGGAATAGGTATCATGAATAAATGGACGATGTACAACTCGCTAATTACTGCAATACAACCGGTCTAAAAACAGACGGCATCCGAAAAAAAAACCTTGTCGGTGTTGTTATAGGTCAAACAACGCACCTATAAGTCTACATCTTCGGAGGCTCCTAACTAACAAACCTATATGAGATATATTTTGAAATTAATCCGTAATAACTCCACAACCGGCATTTGTGTCATCAAAAATCCTTTAAACTGACGCTATTATTAAATATGCCTTTTTCAAAAACATTGATTAAATGGAAAACCAAAAGTTTAAATTCCTTGATCAATGACTAATAACGCATTTAACAAGAAAAAAATAACTAAAAGAACTAAAAAATAAAAAGCAGTTCATGAGCTTTTGTTTGAAAACAACATCTTTACTAAACAATATTTTTAAGAGAAAGTTTCTTACCAGTTTATCATCACTTTTACAATTTTTGGCCTTGTCCAACCACTCAACAGCCTCTTTATATTCCCCACTTTGTATATGACATTTGGCAATCATCAATTTGTTCGACTTCCAATCGTAATTTATATGTTTCTCAGCTTCCAAGAAGTTCTGAAGGGCGTCAGGATAGGTAGAGTTTGGAGGATCACCAAAAAAGGTTGATGCCACCTTCCGTTCATACCTAAAACGAAAAAATATTTATTATGCTTAATACAGATACATGGCCACAACCCATAACTACGGAATGTATACGTTTGAAAAAACGAGCTACTATTTTTTAATTTACCATTTCAATCCAGCTGCCTCGAAATTAAAGTGGCCCATCATATGGTGTAGAGTTCCATCGAGGGGATTTAGTTCTAAAGCTCTTAACACGTGTTTTTTGAACAGAGCTCCATCAGAAAGTTTTTCAGAAATGGACCCAAAACCACATCGATCGCCAACTAGAATGGCATACCATTTGTGGGCCTCTGAGCTGTCTTCTTTGAATCGCAGCGATGCTTCACAAGCGTCAATTCCTAAATACAAATAAAGGAAATAAAAATCTAACAATTCGTTAATACAACGTTGGAAGTCGAAGAAATGAACATAGAGCAAATACATCTTGCAACGCAGCAAATGTTGAACACTCTAGTACACATCAGTTTATCAAAACACCTACTACAGTTTTTAGATCAAGAGATAGTAGACAATTTTTAAGGACCTGTGCATTTTAATTTTTGGTAATATGCATTTGACGAAATATGTATCTGAGGCAATTTGAGATTTGGACCGAATAAGATGTATAATTAAAAAAAAAAAACGCTAGCGAAATACATTATTTGCAATACGATTGGATTTTGTTCAGCAACACAACATAAAAAGTAAGCATTTAACTTTATAGGAAAAATGTTTATTTGATAGATTAAACATAGTTAGATTGTTAGATGGACCAAGAGTCCAGATTGGAATATATGGGAGAGGAATACAGTATGGAAAGACAAACAAATAGTAACATTAATACTACTAACAACGAGGTTTGTACTGCCTTAATTAAAATGAAAAACGGGCGATCTCCAGGACCTGACAATATAGCTGGTAGAGTTACTTAAAGCAGGAAGTCCACTCCTAATAGAAGGAATAACTTTTCTAATGAATCAATGCTGCCAACAAATTAAAGTACCATCTGAATAGAAAACCGCTCACCAAGTGTCCATCTTTAAAAAGGGTAATCGAAAAGATCCTAACTGCTACACAGGACTAAGTGTCCTACCTACTTTCGGGAGATTGTTTGGAAATATAATAAATGGAAAAATACAAGATGATGTAGGACATCTAATTAGAGAAGACCAAAGTGGATTTACGCCTGGTATATCTTGCACTGATAGCTTGTTTATACTCCAACAAACAATAGAAAAAAGAATAGCGGTTAGTACCGAAGTACATTTAACCTTCATCGACCTAGAAAAGGCGTATGATACAGTTCCAAGACTTAAATTGTGGCAAGCTTTACAACAACTCGGCATTAGTCCATACCTTTTAGAAATAATCACAGAAATATACAGGGATAACACTACTTACCTGACAATTGGAAATAGACTATCTGAGCCAATAAAACTAACTAAAGGACTAAGACAAGGATGCCGTATGTCACCCTTACTGTTTAATTTATATATTGAGACAGCATTCCAAAATTGGAAAACCCATTGCCTGGGAATGGAAATCCCCTAGGAAATGACGTACTGTTCTCCCTGAAATTTTTATGATCTAGAATTTATGATAAGGCGTCTATACAGAGAATATGTAAAATGGGGGGTTATAAGTCAGCATGAAGAAAACAGAATATTTAGTTACCAATTCAGACGCAAGGTTTGAAGTGTTGATAGACGAGGACGTGGAAATCAAACAAGTGGAAAAATTTAAATATTTAGGGGCTCTCAGTGATAAGAACGGCTTGGGAGAAATCGAAATTAAACACCGAATTAATCAGGTATGTAAAATTGTAGGATGTCTGATCTCTTTATGGTGGGATCGCAACATTTCCAAAAGGACAAAAAAAAAAGAATAGGACAAACCATGGTTGAATCAGTTCTTTGTTACGGCTCTGAAGTATGGACAATTAATGCCGACCTGAAGAGAAGATTGTTGGCAGTTGAAATGGATTATTTGAGAAAAAGTTCTAGAACATCAAGGCTGGACAGAAAGAGCAACGAATCTATAAGAAACAACATTAATGCTACAGAAACGGTCATTGACAGAATAGAAAGAAGAGGTTTAAAATGGTTTGGACACCTATTGAGAATGCCTGACGAACGTTGGCCCCAAAAACTTCACATATGGAAGCCCCCTGGAAGAAAAAAAAGAGGTAGACCTCGACGCTCATGTAATGAAGGAATTAGAAGAGCGATGGAATTGAGAGGTTTGGAGGAGGAGCATGCCTTGGACCGGGAGACGGGAGGAGAACGGGAATATGGCGATATCCGTCTCCAAAATGTATTGTATTTACAAGTTGGATCCTGTAATAACAATATGCGTTCTTGTTAATAATGCATGAAAAAATAATTAAACAAATTGTGTAATTTTTAATAAAATGTATGGCAAAATAATTAAGTTCTATTGAAAAAATATAGAATCAGTCAAAATGTAGGTTTTAGTGTAAAGATATAACCTTATCGTAAAATTTGAATTAAGTTTATTATGCATCGTGTTACAATAATTTCTCCCAGCTGTAAGCTTGCGGTTAATCACAGTCTACCTATGTAATACTTCCTCAGCGTGTAATTAAAAAATAAAAATAAAGCGTGCAATAAAATCCCATTGGAATAACCCTGATAAATTTATCTAGCTCATTTACTTTATAATTTATTGAATACTAAAAACTAAATGATATTGAAATTCGAAATACTATTCAAACTTGACTGCCAGCTCATCCTCGACGGAATCTGGTCGACAAGAACTGTATGTGGGCTCCTTCACAAATGACCGTAAATCACGTACTGCAGTGTGTGGTTTCAGTGTAAAGTGCCGATTTCATTCCCATTTATAAAAATCACATTCAATCCAATGTAAATCGTCTATGTTCAGTTTTTCGAGTGCCAACAATGTCTATTTAACAATTATAATATAAATAAATAAATGTAAATAAAATAAGTGAACGTAAAAAAAGTTTCATACCATTAAATACATTTTCTTTAATCACTTCTTTGTCATCATTAAAATCTGCTATCTTTTTATGGGCTTTCCCAATACGCCAGAGCAATTCGGAGTTTTCAGGGTGCTCTATACACAAATCTCTTAATTTCATTAGCGCCTCTTGTACTTCTTTGAAGACACCACTATTCAATTTAACATCTATGATATTCAAAATCTAAAACAGGAAAATCGATTGATATGGTTCTCATGCAGAGAAGAGAATGTATGTTTGACCAGTATATTGTCCAGAAGTATGTATGTTTGTTTTAATATATATATATATATATATATATATATATATATATATATATATATATATATATATATATATATAAGTTATGATTTTTGAGGATGCAGTCAGTTTATTTGGCCCACAAGACAAAGAAAACTCTTTGACTTACTGTCAAGCTTTCGAATTTTATTTAATTCTTTTTCAAGACATCTATAAAAAGAAATATAAATTAACTAGTTAAAATTGTTAATTTTCTTACTTACTAGTCGTGAGATTAAAATTTAAAGTACATTAAATTTGAATACATTAAAAGAAATATTATATTTCATTTTTGATACTAATATATGCAAATTTAATAACAGTTATTACAAACAAACATCAGGTACTCCCATGGGAACCTCTTTATCACCTATCATTTGCAATTATGCTCTTGATGATCTCATTGAGGAATGTTTAAAAATAATACCTTTTCATATTCCATTTGTTAAACGTTTTGTAGATGATTTGATCCTAGCTGTACCCAATGACAAAATAACTGACGTCTTAAATATTTTTAACAACCAATGTAGCCAATTACAATTTACTGCAGAAAGAGAACAAAATAACAGTCTCCCTTTTTTAGATATGATTGTCCATCGCACACATGACAATAGTCTTAAAACAGAATGGTATCGAAAACCAATTTCTAGCAATAGATTCATTAATTACTATTCCGAACATCCTACAAAAATGAAAATAAACTTAATTTTAGGGCTAAAAAGTAGAGTAACTAGAATAACTCATCCAACATATAGAGAACAAAGTTTAAAGAGACTAAAAAACATACTAATTGAAAATTCTTATCCCGTTGGCTTACTCAATAAATTAATTTTTAGTACTGCAAACTCTCCAACCTCCATCACATTGATCGACAATACAAACAATAAAAAACAAATCACAATAAAAACGGCAAATCAAGAAATAAACAATAGCCTGACAGTTAACACCTTAATACCAATAACACCACAAAATTTTGGATCTTTACCTTATATTCCATTCTTATCAACACCAAAACTTCTCAAATTATTTAAAGGATTAGAAAACATAAAAATTGCCACCAGAAATGTTAAAACCATAGCACATTTATACACTAAAACTAAAGATCCTTTAACAACTGATGAAAGTTCTAGAGTAGTGTATCAAATACCTTGCTCAGACTGTGATAAAGTTTATATAGGAGAAACTTCTAGAACATTACACAGCAGAATTATTTCTCATAAAAGTGATGTAAAAACTAAGAAATCACAAGCTTGTGCATTAGCCGAACATTCCATCAATCTAAATCACACATTTAATTTTTCACAGGCTTCAATTCTAGAGAGGCAGAAACATGAACAGAAACGGTTATTTTTAGAAATGACACATATACAAAAAAATAAAAAATGTGTAAATAGAAGATCAGATATTGACAAATTAAGTAACATTTATTGTTACATATTAACATATCAATAAATACCGTCAAAATCTCATTTTCTATTGACATCCTAATATTAAAAATTCATATGTGCTTAAGCCAAACGGCTGACTGGATTAATTTATATTTTTTATAGACAATTAAATAAATTATAATAAAAACTATTGTTACTGGTTTTGCTTTCCACATAAAGTAACTGTATTTTCATTCATATATGTCCATTAATCAAACCATGACAGTGACATATATAATGACAATATAGTTATTTTTAATAAAAAAATTTTATTATATTTATTATGGTTTGTTTAGTAGAGTACAATATTAAAAACTGTAATCTCACGACTAGTAAGTAAGAAAATTAACAATTTTAACTAGTTAATTTATATTTCTTTTTATAGATGTCTTGAAAAAGAATTAAATAAAATTCGAAAGCTTGACAGTAAGTCAAAGAGTTTTCTTTGTCTTGTGGGCCAAATAAACTGACTGCATCCTCAAAAATCATAACTTATATTTAAATCAACAGTCAAGAATACCACCATGTTATATATATATATATATATATATATATATATATATATATATATATATATAACATATATATATATATATATATATAACATATATATATATATATATATATATATATATATATATTGTTATGCTATGTAAAATGGAAAATAATATTGGTTTGCTTAATATATTTCAAAGTACAAAATATAATAATTCCAATAATTCGACTAATCAACTATAAAAGATACTTCGAAGAAATGAAAGTCCATTAACCTGGATTACCTTTAGTAAACAAAATTTTAAAGATATGCAAAAATTATTTTCTTTGTAAAGTGACGTGAGTGAGCTTAATTGAAATCATGAACAATGCGAGCGGGTTTTCCAAATGGATTTGTACAGTGAATAAGACAATACAATAAATATTTAGAAAATATATTTCTCCGTTAGTTCTTAAGAATTTGTAGAAACCGATTAGCATGTTAATAGTTTTTAGGAAATTTATAATTGTTGTTTGTTATCTGAATGAAGAGATGGGAATACGTATGACGAGCTTTGATTGGAGGAGATTGAAAAAAGTGGGATGGTTTGTAAGAATGAGAGTTAGCTAGATTTTTTTAGGGAAAAAAGATAATCAGTTGTTTTCCAAGTGTGCAAGGCGAACGGTCATTGTTCTCTAGTGGTTTCCCAGAGGTAGTTAGCAGTAGTAGTGAATGCTTGTGAGTTTTGTGAGTTTGTAAGTTTCCGTGGAGTTAGTGAATCTGACAGAAGCTGATCCAGTAAAATATTGTAAGTTATATTTTTCTACTTATATTCCAAGAGTCATTGTTCAGGCCAGAACGAGAGATTCAGTTTATCGAGAAGAGAAGAGGCTAGCATAATTTGAACGATACGCGCATTTGAAGGAGATCATTAAAGACGATAGGCTCGCAAAAATTTGTTGTAAGATTGTTGATTACCTTGGGGACTGCTAAGAATTTAGATAGTGTAGGCTACAAGGAACAAGGATTTGGACAACTCATCATCGCAGAGATAGTTTTACTATTCGTCAGTTTTTTTTTATTAACAACACAATTTTTACAATTGCTTTAGAAAAGATAGGAATATTTTGATCAGGAGATATAGAACAACAATTTTGATTTGAAATTTTAATTTATATTGTATGTACCATTAATTTTTAAAGGTTCACGTACGTAGAAAAAAATTTTGATAATTATATGAGATATTTTTATTGAAGATATTTGAGTGTGAATTTTATTTCAATATATTTTTATTTCAATATATAATGTTGTATCATATATGTTTTTTATTATTCCGGTATTCTTTGGACCTTACCTATCATATGTAAAGCAGAGATATTGAAGCACGCGTATAACCCTGAGATAAGAGAATTAAATAGTGTGAATAGTGTGAATCATAATTGCATCATTTAAATAAGTTTATTAATTGATTAATTAATTAGCTAATTAATTGCATGGTGCACCTCAGACTTTTAATATCACATTAATATATATATATATATATTAATAAAGTATTCAACTAGTGAAATCCAGAGGTTTATTGGGTCAGTCAGGTTGGCAAAATAAAAAACAGAAGTCAACTACTTCATAAGTTTATAGAAGACGTTTCGCTTTATACTTCTAAAGCTTCATCAGTTCTCTTAGGGCGAGCGCCCACCAAAGTGGCGTGGCAGTGGCAAGTAGCAAGTAGCACGCGTCTAGCATAATGTAAGCAATCCTAACGAATGATTAGAATGAATGACGTTACTGTCATTTTGGTGTAAACTGAATCATTCGTTTTCATTGGTTACATTATGCTAGACGCGTGCTACTTGCTACTTGCCACTGCCACGCCACTTTGGTGGGCGCTCGCCCTAAAATACAAAGATGACATAGAGTTTATAAGAAATACAGATCTAATAATTTATTACTTACAACTCAATATGTAGTATTAAAGATGTTATTGTATATGTACTTAAGTTTACTCATAAATTTAGAACTAACTTAAAAAAAATTAACAGGAACATGCAAAAAATAGTATTCGCAGAAACGAAGATTTACAAAAACTTTAAACGTACATTTGGCTTCATTTAGAGATGGTTCTCCAATGAAGACAAACAAAACACTGATTTATCGCAATCTATGCTAAACGACGTGACGCGATACCGAAATTTTTTTCAAGGGCCATATGTTCAACAAATTCCAAGGTTTGAGACAATTATGAACTTCTACGGGGGTCATTGAAAGATTAGTTGGACGGGTGGATTTGTACCACGGGTGGATTTGTAGTTGTCCAACTAATCTTTCAATGACCCCCGTAGAAGTTCATAATTGTCTCAAACCTTGGAATTTGTTGAACATATGGACAGATGGCCCTCAATTCGTCTGGCCAAATGGTCAAACGTGGAGGCATTCAATTTTACCTCGTCTACCAATCCATCGTCCTGAAAATACCTCTTCTAAATAACGCCGAACATTTACAACAAATTTTGTAAAATTATGACAAGCAATTTACAATTTACGAATTTACTAGATAGATACCGATCAGTTAGACCAAAAAGAGTTATGAATGACAACAAAACTAGATATAATGCAAAGTTTTGTTGAAGATCCACATACATCCTCACGCAGGGTTGCACAAGTACATGATGTAGGTCGTTCTTCAGTCTTACGTGTATTATATAAGAATATTTTTAAACGATACAAAATTACCTTCTTGCAAGAATTAAGTGAAGATGATTTCGATCGTAAATTAAAGTTTACTAAGGTAATGATGGATAAAATGGAAAAGGATAAAAATTTCGTTAATAGAATATGTTTTTCCGATGAAACAATATTTACACGACGCGGAAGTGTAAATCGACACAATTTAAGGTACTAAAGTGACGTAAATCCACACTGGATGCGTGAAAACCTAACTCAAAGACCACAAAAATTAAATGTATGGTCAGGTATAGTAAGTACTTAGTTAATTTGGTCATTTTTTATCGAAGGAAATTTAACTTCAGATAGTTACGAAACGTTCAGATACTTAAAAATGAAATTGTACCTACACTGATAAACTTGTTTGGTGCCCATTTTAATTAGATATGGGCAAGATGGAGCTCCAGCTCATTTTGGGGTGAATGCTCGGGGTTATTTAGAAAAGATATTTCCACGACGATGGATCGGTAGACGAGGTAGAATTGAATGGTCTCCACGTTCACCTGATTTAAATCCTGAAGATTATTTTTAATGGGGATACTTGAAAAATTCAGTTTACAAAACTAAACCAGCAAGTCTTGCAGAACTACGGCAACGAAAAATCGATGAATCTCGAATAAATTCTAGACAATCATGAAAAAATGTGATAGACGCATTCTACCATCGATTAGGGTACTGTCAACTCACAAATGGAGCACGTTTTGAACACTTGATAAAGTAACCATTGTGTTAAAAAATGTTATAATAATCTATCAATTGTTACGTTTTAATGTAGTTAAAAATAGTTAGTATTAAAAAATTTATTGAGACAATTATGCGTTGCCAGACTTCCGTTTTATGTATTTAAGACCTTCCAGACTACATAAAATCATAAGTGTTACATATGGTTGAACTCGTATTGAAAAGGAGATTCCAATAATGAGTGAATATACAGGGTGATGAATTTGAAAAACCAAAGTTAATAATAATATAAGAGAAACGGCAAATCCGGCAACATTGCAAATATAAAATATGGAATCTCCGTATCCCAAAATAGGTGTACCTCAAATTTTGTATAATTATTTCTGGTAATTTACGAGATAATTTGCCGTTTCCAGACTTTTGGGCCACTCTGTATAGAGAAAACAACTAAAAATTTCGAATCATGGAATTATTATGTTAAAATGATTACTGATGTGTTATTTTTGTATATGTAGATATATTTGTGTTGTATGTCAATTATACCATTACTACTAAATATAATATATATTATTACTTACTTCTTCCATATTGATCGAGTTATTGTCATTTTCGTTGTCACTGAGATCATAAAATTCTAGATCAGAACTGTCGAGATTGGTTGAGCTTAAATATTCATCCCCAGTAGATGTTGATACTATAGAATTGGCCTTTTTTACTTTAATTCTTCTAGATTTATTGGATCTAATAATAAAACATAAATAAATGCTTAATATACAAATAAAAGAGAAACTGAAATGAAAAAAAGCGTCAAATAATATTATGCCATAAAAAGTATATTTAACAATAAAATGTTAAAATTCTTCTGTTTATACGATATTCTTTTTTTAATACAAAAATAAATAAAATTGAAGGAAATGTAAAAATATGTTCTGTACTGAGATATATGAAGATTGATATAATGATGAATTTGGAAACAGGAACGAAATAATCAACGAAGTATATATTAATGAAGATTACTTTTCGATTTTAGCAAACCAAAAGACCAAATAATCAAGCCTTGATAAAATTTCCTGGTAAATACTAAAAAATCTGAACTACGGTCCCTAAAAACCTGTCATGTACATGAAAACGAAAACAAGGCCAGATAATAGTGACAACGAAACCCAACACTAACCCAAATTATTTCAAAAAATTATAATAAAGCAACTGTTTTGTTTGTTTGAAGTAGGGGACGGAATTCCACAGCACTGGAAAAAAGCATTTGACAATGTCTGCCAAAAGTGACTATTATTTACATTAAATCTTCTTAACAGTTCTTCTTTATTGATCTTAATCCAACATTCCTAGAGAATAGTTCTCTAGCAATTAAAATGAATATAGCGATTTCCAATTCATTCAACCTCAAAAAAAGAGTTCTTCGGGACTCTCTTGATTCACTTCTCTTGCACAATATTTACAGTTTTTCCTCAGGGCAGGATAGTTCAGACGGTAGAGTGTCTGACTATCACGCAGAAGGCGGGGAATGATCCCAGTGAAATTCAATTGAACCACGAGTTAGAAGAAGGGAATGAATCCAAAAAGTAGATTTTCGGGAAATCAATAAAAACTGTTTATTCGTTCTATTTAATTTTTTCTTGTTTACTAATGACATCTACTATAAAGTACAGTTTATATAAGTTAATTTGGATTGGAGAAAAACCATCCAGTGATTTTCGTTATCTAGAAAGACGATAAAGAAAATCTTGGATTTATTCCTTTCTTACAACTTATATTTTTTTGAAATGAATAAAGACACAAAATTGTATGAAAAAGCTTATTTTATTTAAAGTAATTTATAAAAAACAAACAAATACACAAAAAGAACATTTCCCTAAACTACCCTTCTTCCTCAATGATATTATCTGATGCATGTAGTTGGCCATGTAAGAATGTTTTCATAAAATTCTTTTTTATCTTCTGGAATATATGGAATTATTTTCCGAACGTCTTCCATCTTTTTCTCATTTATTGGTATTTTTGCCCTGTATGCTCTGGTAGTAGGCAATGAAGGGATCACCCCATTTTTTTGAAGTAGAAACCTCTGTTTCAGAAAACCATCTATTTGTTCTGAAACTGTTACGTAGCCTTTATGGGAAGAAGAATAATCTAAATATCTATATTTGGATATCATAAATGTAGACGTTTTGTCCACCGACTTACACGTTTTTTTTGTAATAATTTTTCCAAGTGTTTTTAAAGTCGAATATGTCGTCTGAGGTGATTGTTGTTACCGAACATCCTCTAGTTTTGGCAGTAGAGATCATTATGTTGTATTCCTCTGGTACGTAAATCCTATCTTTTCTCCTGATGTCTTTTTGCTGTTTCGAAATTCCGATCGCACTGTAAAAACGAATGTCCACGCACAGGAAAGTACTGATACACTTTATCGAACCGTCCAGTCGAAACCAACATGAGCATGGACCGTATCAGGGTATTGTTTCTATTCTGTCCTCCGCAAGCGTCACTAAACACGTGAAGTTCGTTTATAGCAGGATCCATATTCTAAATTGTCTTCCAAATTAGGCTACATACATCATCAGGTCCTCTTTTAGCTTCTCCTTCATGGTACGTGTAAAAATCTGCACAATTTGTTTTCAAATCGTGTACACAAAACACGTAAAGCCATAGTTTTCTGAGATAGAACATTTGCTGTACTGGTATTTTTGGAAGCGGAAGGTTTTGCATGTAGTCGAAAACAATAGGTCCGACATTTTCCTTTTCTTGACATAGACTTCAACATTCAACATGATTCAACACTTCTTGCTGCTTCAGGTAAAACTTTTTAGCTCGTCTCAGATGTACCATATTTTCTGCAACTGCTACACGCTTGGCGTTTTCATTCAGCGTTTGACTTCTTATTTTAGCCTCAAGTTCTTCACAAGTTAAACAAACGTCAACCTGTGGTCTTCCAAATCTGTAGCCATTGTTATCATTATAGTATTTTCTAAAAAAATCGTATTTAACGATGTTGACATGTTCGGGATACTTTTTGCAAAAGAGTTCATGCATTATCTTCACATTGAGGTTAGCATCCAAATATTGAATTAATCTGGTGCTGTAATGTGATTCTTTTAACGGAAATGATCGAATGTGATGATTGATCGCAAGAACTACATTGTTATCTAAATTGTTGCCACGATTTAAATGAATACCACGGTGATCCATCGGTAATTTTCCTTCGGCAATAAGAGAAGTCAGTCAAAAAATTGCTTTATTTTTTATAGCATACAAGATTGAAAAAGCTTGCCTACATACCTCAACTCTTGCAGAATTTATTTGGATAAAATAACAAAAAGTATTGTCACGCCTTTTGGGATTTTCATTTTTGGATCGTCTTCGAATAACTTTCGAGCAGTTTATTAGGCTCTTAAGTATCCTGTTCATTTTTTGGACGTCCACTGTACACACTTTGTAGAATCGTTTGCTTTTCTTCTAAACTAATCTTCTGTGTGCACCGTTTTTTACATGTACACTCACTAACAGTATTTGATTTTGCCGGTACAATACGCCCTGTAGTTGAACTAGTATAGGTTTCACCGTGTAATCGATGTAATTTTTGTACCTCGTGTTTGTATAAATGTTTATTTCGTACACCCCGTTTTCTCTTCCGTGAAGTCGCCAAATCGCAAAAAATGTTTATGTTACTGTCCTCACTGCTATTACTATCACTACTACTATTCTTTGTTTCAAGTTAAGAAAATAACATTACGCTTATGGAGATCAGTGTTGCCAAAACTCTCAGACACTCTCTTTTGCACGGATGTCCAAGATATTCCCTTTGCTTAATTTTTGAATTTTCATTTTCAATTAACATACTTACTGTAAAGTCAGACTAACTACTAAATAATAACCTTATTATCATTATGTAGCCAGAGAACGACATAAAATCGCTGACATACGCAAATCGTAATATTTTAAGTTGCAATTAGTAATTAGATATACGCATTCCAAGTCCGTTTATTTGCTTTTAAAACTTTAATAGGCGGCAAAATGTATGATTTAACTAAGCAATATTTTCTACTGATTTCTATGATTCATGGCTCACCGAAAAACAAATAAACTCTCGTTAGTACCTATAATTAAAATAAGATAAAATAAAATAATCTTTTGTAAATATAATACTATTTATCTAATTAAAATCATTTTCCCTACTTTTCATCTCTTGTTTCGAATGGTCACTTTTGGTCAATTACGTTAAAAAACATTAATTTAATTCATGTCTGTGGAAACGAAAATACAAATTATACAACCCTAAATTGTGTTTGTGTGTGTCGTGGCAACGCTGCGTTTTTATCGTACATAAGAAATACATGGCCCTATCTCCGCAATGTTATTTTCTTAACGTGGAACGTAGTATAGACATTTTTCTGTTTAAAATATCAACAAACAAAACAAGAACGAGACTTACGTGATGTGAACAGTAACTGAATTGTATTTTCATCACCGACAGTTACAGCATGTCGCCGTAGGCCTCCAAAAAACACGTGACAAACAGATTAAACCGTAAGTTTGAAGAAAGAAATAATTCCCTTTATACGGTAACTTATACGGTGTTTATTCCCTACTTAGCGCGGACAGATGGGTCTTGCCTTAAAAGGTATATTTTTGTTAAAAAGTCGTTTCGCCATATTTTGGCGTTTATTTATTCCCTTCTTCTAACTGGTGGTTCAATTAAAAGTATCAAGACTCTTTGGATAGATGCGTAAGAAATTTAAATTTTCCAAGAGCTGGAACGGTACACCTCGTAATTTGCCCACTTTGTAGTGCACCCGCTAGCCCACTGAGTTTTTAAGCCAACTTCACATTTGATACGAAATCAAATTTAAATTTACAAACAAAAATTATTGTGAAAAACAGTGTAATTAGCAAAGCCAATCACTAAAATGCCTTAATCTACAAAAATTTAAAAATAGAAACCACTCCTCATCCTCTATCCTTTATCCTTCGTAAGGATGTGGTGACGTTAAGATATTTGACGAATGGTTGCTATCCATTCTTCTCTCTCCTGGGCGCGGTGTGCTGCTTCAGACAGAGAGTAACCGGTAGCGCACTGTATTTGGTCTAACCATCGGAATGGTGATCTTCCTCGAGTTCTTTTACCATCTTGCTTGCCACCTTGCCTTCAACCACCAACCTCTCCATGCCTTCCATTCGTCTGGTAATGTACTCAAAGTACCTCAATATATTTTGGTTGATGATTGTGATAAGCCTAGTATTGATGTCGAGTTCTGTTAATATTGAGACATTTCTGCGATGTGCTGTCCAGGGTATGCGCATCAGTCTACGAGAAACCACTACAAGTACAAAAATTTACAAAAATCTACTGATCTCTTCTGGTTTGCAGTCACCATTTCCTATTTAGAACTCCAAATTACCTGCCGTCAACATTTAAGTAGATGAAGATGTGCTACGAGGATGATTTCAAAAATATCCCATCTACTCTATCCTCATTTTTCTATTTGAGTAGATTAGTTACAAAATATACTATATATTGATCAACATTTACGGAAAGTCACACAATTGGTTGTGTGACTTGGTGTCTTCCACAATATTTCTCCATTCTTTCCTGTTTTTGCTTATGATTTTCCATTCTCTAACTCCAATCATCTTAAAGTACTCAATTATCTTCTTCTTCCATGTCGTCTTCGGCCTTCCTGATACAGTTCTCCATTTGGTAATTTTCTTGGTAATTACTTCTGGAT